ATTGCTCCTGTTATTTAGATATGTCTTTATTTGTGCAAAGAGTTAACTGTCACAGTCAAGCTAGTATATATTAATAACTTCAAGAGTTGCGTTCAGTAAGGGACTGAGTATAACACTATCTTATGAAGACTCCTAAAAATTAAAAGGAATCCAAATCCATTGTTAACAATCTCAAACCCTCAGTTTTGAGAGATTGTAAAGGACAAAACTGAAAAATGAAAGTTACTGTGGTATCGGTTCAGGTTTTATATTAACCTTAACTCCTTAGTGGTACCTAGAGAGTCTCTAGAGCAGGAGCCCAAATCCTCTGTCTCTTCTCACATAGCCAGAGAAGCAGGACTCAGTTTCATTGTCATTATGCTGCCTCTCTACTGGTTGGGATAAGTGCTTCAGTCAGGTATGTGCTGCCTCTGGGGACATAACCAAAACTACATCTGTTTGTCTAGTGGTTTCTTGGAAGACTGTTTTTATGATAACCTTTATTTGTAATTAAGAGCAGCAGCAGCATCTCTGAGAAACCTTCTTTCAATAAATTTTTAGTGCATTGCTTTTTCATTTAGAAAATGGTCTCAATTTGAATTATAGCCCTGAAAACTCAATATGAGTCAACAGTGTGACATGGAAGCTAAAGAAGTTAATGCTATTCCTTGATTGCATTAAGAGATAAAGCGTGTCTGTAACAAGGACTGAAATAGATCTGCTTTACTCTACCCCAGAAGTACTGTGTTCAGTTTTGAGCATCACGTTTTAGGAAAGATGGAAACAGACTAGATGGAACATTTCCAGAAAACCAAGACTCCTGACAGCCCTAATTTATCAAAAAGAAAAAAACTCCAGGAACAGTAAGATTGAGTATTTTGAGATATGCAGGTGTATAAGCAGCACTCCGTGATGAAGATGATTTCTGGATCTAGTTACAAAAAACTAAAGAGTTTTGTCAGTTTCTTTGTCAGCCCCTAGATCTGTATCAATTGTTTCTTACCATATGGCCAAGGTAAAATGAATTCCTTCTGAAAATTTTAGTATAGGAGCAGCTAGGTGAAATAATGGATAGAGCACTGGGCCTGGAATCAGAAGAACCCAAGTTCAAATCCAGCCTTAGACGCTGTGTGCCCCTGGGCAAGTCACTTAACCTCAGTTTCCTCCAAAGACAAAGAAAAGAAAATTTTGGATATTACTAATTCTCTCTTATGCTCTGTGTCTTAAGAAACTCCCTAGGATATCCATAATGATTTAGAATATCCTCTGATAGAATTCACTCAGCATAGGAAATGTCAGATTTCTAATAGTCTATTTTGATTCACAAATAAAAAAATTAAAGTCTATTAAGAAAGGAGAATTGTTGTCTTAGCCATTTCATTGCTACTACAATTCTCTTGGATTCAGAGGCAAAATGTGGAGATGGAAGTGATATTAATTAGGGCTTTCCATTTGACCAGAATATGAAATGAGCAGCATGCTTACAACAATGTAGTCTCAAATATTGCAAAATACAGATTATCTTAATATTTGGTCTAGGAGTGCAGTTTAGACTAGCATATCTACCTTACAACATGATAGCAAGATTTCCTAATTCAGATAAAACTTCAGTTTTTAGAAATCTATTAAGATTATAAAAATTGTGTCATAAGAAAAAGGAATTGCCCACAGTTGCGGCTCAGAAAATAAACTCCTTTTTTTATTTCATTGCACCTTTTTCTGAAAATTAGTGCCTCTTCCAGTGCATTGTTGATGGAGCTTCGAATTGTCCAGTTACTTGTAAAAGCATTTGGAATTATCATCGAGTCAACACAAGTTTATTAAGTACTTACTGTGTACCAGGCACTGTGGATACAAGTACAACAAATCAAACAATCCCTTCTTACTATGAGCTTACATCCAAAGTAGGGAGATAACAAGTACATATAAAAATATATACATGGCATAAATATTATGTTAATAAATACGTATATGTATAACTTATTAATATAAGGTAGTTTGGGAGGGAGGTTACTAGCAGCTGAGGGGATCAGGAAAGGTTTCACTGCAGAAGATGGTACGTGAGCTGTGTGTTACAGAAAGAGTTGGATTCTTGGAGGCAGAAGTCAGGTGAGATTCAATCCAGGCCTGTACAAGGCACAAAGGTGGGAGATGGAGGGTCATGTATGAGGAACAGAGAAGGCCAGTCTGGCTGGATTGCACAGTATGAAAGAGAAATAATGTCCATTGAAGCTGGAAAGATAAGTTGGGGCCAAGTTGTATTGGTCTTTAAAAACTAAACAGAGGAGTTTATATTTTATCCTAAAGGTAATAGGAAGTCACTAGATTTGTTAGAGTAGAAAAGACATGCACTTGAAGAAAATTACTTTGGCAACAGTATGTAAAATGGATAGGAATAATGAGAAGCTTGAGGCAGGGAAACCAGTTAGAAGGGCGTTACAATAATCTAGTTAGGCTAAAGATGATGCAGGCCTGAACTAAGGTGATAATCATTTGAGTAGAGAGACAAGTGTGTCAGAATCAAGAAACATGAAGGTAGAAATGACTGAATTTGTTGAAGGATGGTGGTGTCTTTGACAGTAATAGGAAAGTTTGGAAGAATGAGAGTTTAGAGGAAAAAATAATAAGTTCAGTTAACTATGCAAATAAAATGGTTAAATATATAAGCCAAGAATTTCATTAATTAAAAAAGCTTCATATATACCAAAATATTTATAGTTGCATTTTTGTGCGTGTGAGAGTAAGGAACTAGAAACAAAGGAAAAGCCTATTGATTGGAGACTGGCTAAAAATAAATTGTGGTATATAAATGTAATGGAAAATTACTGTGCTTTAAAAAATAGATATAGAAAAGCATGGAAAGACTTTCAAGAATTGAGGCAAACTAATTAAGCAGAGGTAGAAAAACTATAAATTTTTACTATAATGTAAATTGTAAGAACTGCCTATAAACAAGCAAAAAAGGTTGCAGAATTAAAAAAAAAAAGCTAAAGAAGCTTGATCCCAAAGAACAGATATGAGAAGATACCTCCCTTCACTCTTTTCCAGAGGTGAAGGTATTTGGGAGTTCTGAGCTGCAGTGATCTAAGCTGATCTGGTGTCTGCACTAAGCTCAGAATTAATATGGTGAGGTCCCTCCCCTCACCCAAGTGGGAAGGCCATCAGATTGCTCAAGGTCGAGCAAACTGGCTTTGGTCAGAAACAGCAGGCTTCTGTGCCTATGAGAATGGGACTGATTGGTTTTGTGAGTGGCCTCTGCACTTCTAGCGTTAGCAGAATAGGGAGACCTAGTCTGAAAAAAATTAAAATAAAAAATTATTTGATCTAAGAGTTCTTTGAGAGGAAGAAATGGAAGATACAGGGAGAAATCTATGTTATATAAAAACAAAAGATATCAGTAAAAATCTGTTCTCAAAAATTAGTCCCATCTCTGTGTCCTTGATACAATGAAGGTATGATCACTCCATAAATCACAAAAATTTTGTTTTGCCATGAGATTAATAATAGTTTCTTCTTTTTTCTTGTCAGATTTTTACTTTAATTAAAGAAAATGGAGTCATAGCTTCCTTAAAGTTCAACAGCAACTTGTAGCTTTCTTTGTAAAATAAATCAATATTTAAATGTAATTAATAAACATAATTATATGAATAAACTATGCTTTTATATGTGCTTATTTTATGTGCCTTGTCAAAGGGATCTCGAGGATCATTTGGTCCAGCCTCATCATTTTTTAAATGAACAAACTTCCATTTTGTCAAAAGACTATTTTATGCTTAATTCTGTTCTGAATTACCTTTTATCTTCTTTGAAAATTGCTATAATCTCCCTGTTGTGGGTACCCAGAGTATAGTTTGTCATTCATGGATCCATTTTCTTTTAATTAATGAGAAACTGAATTTTTGTGTAACCAAACATTCTAGAATGAATAGTAAATTTTCTTCTTGGGGCTGTTGTGAACTTAAATTCTGCTGATCCTAAGACAAGTATTAATAGGCATGCATCACAGAACGTCACTCTCAAGCATCATTCTTTTTTTTTTTTTGGTAAGGCAATTGGGGTTAAGTGACTTGCCCAAGGTCACACAGCTAATACGTGTCAAGTGTTTGGTCTGAGGCTGGATTTGAACTCAGGTCCTCCTGACTTCAGGGCTGGTGCTCTATCCACTGCGCCACCTAGCTGCCCCTCAAGCATCATTCTTAATGCATTACAGTCAAACATAACTTTAAATCCTGCTAAAAACCTAAAACCCTGCTGTAATGAAGTTCCGCTGGTTGCCTATCTATCATATTGTTGCTATAGAATTCCTAATATAGTCACAGAATCAGTTAAGGAATTTAAGTTTATACTTTGTTATATAATAACTATTTTTCACGATGCAGAATCTTAAACATTACATTGATAGCCTAAACCTTATTAAAGTTGCCTTTAAGTAATTTACATATTTTTCTATCACACTTAGTCTGAGTATTTTTTAAATGTGCACAGACTTTCATTTCTCTTTTCTTTAGTAAGTTGCATAGTGGTGATATGTGCATAATAGATGGTCAATGAAAATATGTTAAATTAGTGAACTATCTATAAAATTCAAACTACATTCCTCCCCTGCTCTGCCTTTTTACAACCCCACCGCCCCTTTAAGTATAGGAAATATATGAATCAAAATGGTCTTACCTTTTAGTAGTTTTAATTAGATGATTGATGAAGAGGAGTACATTTGCCCTGAAGCTTATTCAGTTCAACAAACATTTATTAAACACCTACTGTGTGCAAGGAACTGGTCGATGAAACAGATACAGCTTTGTGGTAAAAGTCTCCTTCAAGGAGCCTAGATTTTAGTAAGCTATTAAGCAAGGAATCTAGTTGATTGTTGAAACATGAAGTATTATTTAACTTTGTAAAGTATAACATTGGAAGATATTCAAGTGTTGAACTTTGGAAATTAAATGTGATACATTAAAAATTCTTGATATTCTATTAGTTTAAAAAAAGTTCAACAAATTACTCTGTTTTCTTCTTCTTAGGTATGTGCAATCCTCGAAATTACAGTGATACACCTCCCACCTCAAAGAGCACTGTAGAAGAGCTTCATGAACCAATCCCATCTCTCTTTCGTGCTCTAACAGAAGGAGGCACCCAGCTGAACTGGAACATTGTTTCATTCCCTGTTGGCGAAGAACTTTCCCATCATGAGAATCTGGTTTCATTTTTAGAAACTGTGAACCAACCACACCACCAGAATGTGTCTGTTCCTAGCAACAATGTCCATACACCGTATTCCAATGACAAAGGTAACTAGCTAAGTGTTTTCTTTACAATTAAATAAGTTACTTAAATCTTCTCTTGCTTTTTACCCTGTCTACAAAGCATACATGCAGGTTACCATTAGGAACAAAGTTGAGGGAGAGATTGAATATTCATCCTTCTGTTTTGAGAATTGAAAGTTCTTGAGCAATTACTTGTCTTCTGTAAACATGGTCCTTGAATACTTAAAGGACTATTTCATGATGATGTAATCTATTTGTTAAAACATAATATTGTGGTGAAAGGTGCTTTGTAAGAAGGTAGGAGAACTGTATTTTGTTTTAAATTTCCTCACCAAAAACTAAATCCTTATCCCAGCCAGCTTTCTCTATAGATTGGTAAATAAAGGACTAATAATAATAATAATAATAATAATGATAACAATAATGATAGCTAACATTTATGTAGTGCTTACTACATGCTAGGTACTGTGGTAAGCACTTTACAATTATTATCTCTTTCTGTCCTCGCAATATCTCTGGCAGGTAGATGTTATTATTATCCCCATTTTATAGACGAGGAATATAGTTTCATCATTGTATATGAAAAACAAATATTTTGAATTTAATTTCCTCATTGGAGTGGAATTCAGTGTTTACCTCATAGAAAATAGTGTAATTATTTCTCAAAATGTGAAATTATATATAAGTAATATATTATATATAAGTAATAGAATTTTTCCTTTTTTAGCCTTAGTTATTTTGCCATTCACTAACATCCGTTTTACTTTACCTAGCTAAAACAATGTGATTTATTAGATCTTTTAGCAAAATTTCTCTCTTGGTGGAATTCAAATAGGTAAATCAAAATGTTATAGTACATTTATTTCCCTTATCTGGCAAACCTCCCCTTTTCTAAATAAGTAACAGATTTTCCCATAAAAATGAGTTATGCAAATGGGACTTTTTTTCTGAGAATTCTCAGGTCCACAGTAGTCTCCTGGCATATGCAAACTGTCTTGCTACTGCAATGAGTAACATTTTATCTGTGGTAGTATTAACAATGATTAAATATAATTTTGTTTTATATATTGGAAAGTTGGTATAATATTCAAACCTTATGTACATCATGTCCTAAGCCTATGCAGCATTTCCAGAAAAAGAAATACTTACTTTAGGTAGAAGTTAAGACTTTGTTAGAAGTAGAAAATAAATTCTACCAACTCATCTACAAGGTCATTTATGCTTTTGGAAATAGAGAATTACCACAAGCAACTCTAAAGGAGGCTTTAGACAGTGCCTACACTCATAAATTCATCTTCCTAGATATAGTACTTGGTACTGAAATGCTGATGAAGAAAACCCTGAACCTGAAAAAATCAGGGCTATATGACAGCCATATCTTCTGTCATTAAACATTAACTGGGTGTTTCCATATGCATGATACTTTGTAAGGTGGGGTAAATTGCTATGGATCTTACACAATAGGAGTTTATTTTGGAAGGCCAACTTTTCTTCATAATTTCTCAGTTCTATTAATGGTACCATCAACATCCTAGATTGCCAGTCTAGAAATTTGAGTCATCTCTTCCACCCCCACTCACCAGTCTCTGCCAGTTCTTCCTAAATGGCCCTCAGCTCTTTTCTCACTCTACCATCTTCATTCAGCAATTATTTATTAAATATTTGCAATGTCCTTGCTATTGAGGAGGTATGAAAAGGAATATGGCCTGGCCCTTACTGTCAGGGAGCTATCGCAGCTTCCTAAGCAGTCTCCCTGCCTCTACTCTCTTTGCTTCAGTATATCCTACAGACGGTTTTCAGATAGTCTTCCAGAAATATTACTTTAATCACTCCACTTCCTTATCACAAAACTAAAATGACTATACATATGGCATACATAAATTCTAAATTCCTGACTAACTTTATGGCTCTGTAGAATGGTCCTTTCCTTTTACTTCTCTCTGTCTGTCTCTGTCTTTCTGTCTGTCTCTTAGGTAAGTACTCTTTTCTCTTGAGTTATCTTGCATGCCATTTCCTTTTTAGTCATTTTCTTTTGTCCTTTGCACTCCAAAGGTAATTTCCTCATAAATAAAAGTTGAGTTTTTCAGATTTCAACAAAAATCCAGCCAGTTTCCATTTAGTCATTCCTGACCCCCAGTGCCTTTCTTGGATAAGATGGAAGTCTGTGATATAGAGGAACACTCATATTCCCAACTTGCTGTCTGTCTCTTCATCCTTCATACACTTGGACATTGTCATCTGATGTATCGATGCAACCTAAGGACCCCTGAAGTAGCCCTTTAGGATTTCTGGGACTTTCTGTCTCTTCTCCAACTAAACTTTCTTTTTTATGTGTTATCTCCTCCAATTAGATTGTGAACTTCCTGAAAGCAGAAACAATCTCAGTTTTGCTGTCACTATCCCTAGCACTTTGGAAGTGCTCAATAATTTTTTCGTTCGTTTGTTGATTGATTTCTGAACTTAAATTATTAAGAGTATGCCGCCACACTACTTAACAGTTAATCTTAGTGTATTATTTGTGTAATATTTATTAATCTTGTTCCCTCATACACAAAGAGATATTGTGTTTATATACCTCATTTCTTTCCCACAGTGAATATGCTGGAACAAAGTAGATTTAATTCAGAACTTCATAGATCAGTGATTTTGCCGTTGTAGGTATTCCTTCTGCCAGTACAGTTTACAGTCCTACTATGGCTTGGTAGATGGTCTTTAAGAATCATTGTGACCAAAACATTCATCTTGCTGAGGCCAATCTGGCAATTAGCTTTTTTGAACCTAGTCACATTGGGTCTTGGTTAACAGACATAGTCTGTCATTGGACCTAGAGGCACTAGGTGGTACAGTTGGCAGGGTGTTGAGCCTGGAATCAGAAAGATATGAGTTCACATATAACCTCAGACACTTACTAGCTGCATGACCCTGGGCAAGTCTCTTGATCTCTGTCTGCCTCGGTTTCCTCAACTGTAAAATGGGAATAATAATGGCATCTGCTTCACAGAGTTGTTGTGTGAATCAAATGAGATGATATTTGCAAAGCATCTAACATGGTGGCTGGTACGTAGGCTTGTTCCTTCCTTTCCTTCCATCATCAAGGTCCACCTTTTTGACTTGGTAGGACCTACCAGAGCTAAGACATTTAAGAGCCTCATCCAAGACTATCCATCTTAGCCAAGTTGTAGGAATAGAGGAAGCATCCAGGCCAAACTTTCCCAACATTCCTCTCTAAAAAAGTTTAAAATAACATGTAATATTGAATTCTGGAGCAGCATAGCCAACAAAAAGTTGGGGTAAGACATTTTTTCCCACCCAAGACAACTTACAAAGTTGGGAGAAAAGATCTGTGATACTGGTGTTGGGGGTTGGCACAAGGGGCAACAATACCAGATGTGGGCCTCAGAGGCAGTTGCAACAGCAGCAGCAGTTTTGGGAATGCTCACTGCCCGTAGACGGCAAGGGGATCAGACAACCAATCAGAAAGAGATTAGAGGGTATCCCTATGTAGGCACTTGGTGCAAGACCGAATACCATTTGTCAACTCCATTATCCAGTTCTGGGTCACAATCCCAGGGCAGAGAGGAGGACTTGTGGTTGCAAGGGAGTAGGAACCCTGGTTATAGTTTCAGGGTATGAAGAGTAAGCAGGGGCCCTAGCTCTAAAGCAGAAAGGAATGCTAGGACTTACATTTGCAGGGGAGTAGGGGCCCTTTCTGGGTGAAGACCAGAGCACAAACCAGGAGAGCAGTGGCCACACCTCTTCCCAGATTACACCACCTTAGAAGCACCCAAAAACTTATAGACCCTCCAGACCTAGTTGTCAAAACAGCCGTACAAAATACCCTGAAGCTTTGGACAGTGTTTCCCCATCCCCTACCCCCTGGAGATGAGGAGGGCCCACTCTAGCATAAAGTTCAAAGTCAATAGGCTAGAAAAATGAGGAAAACAACAACAACAACAAAAAATAACAAGGACGTTCAAGATACAAACTCAAGAAAACAACATGAAAACATCAGCAAGAAAAGTCTCAAAGAAAAATGGAGATTAAACAGAAGCCCAAAAAGAATCCCTTGAAAAGCTGAAGAAAGAGAGGAAAAATTATTTTAAAAATGAAATGTGTGGTCAAGGAAAAACGGGGAATAGAAATGACAGCAATACAAGAAAATTATGAAAAGACAACATCTTGGTAAAGAGGCATACACAGAAAAAAATACTAAAGAAAATAATCCCTTAAAAAAGCAGAGTTGGCCAAATGGTGAAAGAGGTACAAAACCTCACTGAAGAAAATAATTCCTTAAAAATTAGAATTGATCAGGTGGAAACTAATGACTCCATGAGACGTTAAGAAACAAGAAAACAAAGTCAAAAGAATGAAGAAAAAAGAAAATAATGCTAAATATCTCATCAAAAAAACTGACATGGAAAAGAGATCGAGGAGAGATAATTTAAGAATTATTGAATTATAGTCATTCTTCAATTGATAAATGATCAAAGGATGTGAACAGGAATTTTTCAGAAGAAGAAATCAAAGGAATCTATAGTAATTTGGGTGGGCTCTAAATCACTATTGATTAGGGAAATGCAAATTAAAACAATTCTGAGGTACCATCTCACACCTATCAGATTGGCTAATATGACAGAAAAGGAAAATGATAAATGTTGGAGAAGACGTGGGAAAATTGGGGCACTAATGCACTATTGGTGAAGTTGTGAACTAATCCAACCATTCTGGAGAGCAAGTTGGAACTATGCCCAAAGGGCTATAAAACTGTGCACACCCTTTGACCTAACAATACCACTTCTAGGACTGTATCCCAAAGAGATAAAAAAAAAACAGAAAAGGACTAATATGTATAAAAATATTTGTAGCAGCGATTTTTATGGTGACAAAGAATTGGAAATTGAGGGAATGCCCATCAGTTGGGGAATGGCTGAGCAAGTTATAGCATATGATTTTGATGGAATTTTTGTGCTATAAGAAATGATGAGCAGGATGTTTTCAGAAAAATCTGGAAAGACTTACATGAA